GAAGAAATCTGGGCTCTCTACAGGTCACAGAAACTGCCTTCAAGGTTGCATGATTCCCACCTCTGCTCTCCTCCGGTAATCCTCAAACATGACTTGCATCACACTTTGTATTTCGAAGTGCTGTGCAAATCCCTAATTATACAGTGCAGTTTGCAGACAAAGAGGTTAATTGACTGGGTTCCAAGAAGCTAAAGGATAGATCCTTTTCTTGATAAACAAGGGATTTGCCCAGTATTTTACTATGATTCTATGGGAATATATTCTGACATGTTGAAGTTCTGTCTCTCTCTTTGTATCCAGAGAAGTTTAGATTTTAGCAGATTTAGATTGCTTCCTTTTAAAAAAATTGTAAACAAGATTGGTTTGAAAACACCAGTGAGTACAGTGTAGCTGCTAGCTCATATTCAGTCCCAATGCTATGCTTGAGGCCTCCTGCCCATACAGAGATCTCTGTTTCTCCAGCCCCTCTTCAAATTCAAAACAATTGTTTTTCCACACCAAGAGAAATACAGAACTTCAGTTAGAGGGGCTCCCAATACCATTTTTAAATGAAAACCACAAGTGATCATTCAGATACTTCCTGCCTTGATTCTTCCCCCCGCGAACACACACACACGCACGCAGACACACACACACACACTGCGAACACACACACGCACACGCACACGCACACACACACACTTTTTAATTTTGAGCATTTGCCCTAACAAGGGCTTAGTGTCCCTTTAGTGGTGCTGGGGAGGGGAATTGGCTCTCAACCTTATCAGAGTTGCCCACCCTTGCTTTAAAATAAGTTTTCAACTCTACATTCACAGACATGGGTAGACTGTGAAGGCATGATCAAGTAAAATAGTACGTGTCCACACATAACATACACTATTTCCTCTTAGGATCATGATACAGTAAGTTGGTTCCAACTGGACAACACAGAACACACACATTTCCTCATAATTGCCAGAACCCAGTCCATGCCCTTCCAGATATTTTAGACTAGAGTCCCCATCATTGCTGATTATTGGCTCTCATGGCTATGGAGGATGAGACGTAGTCTGGAACGTTTGGAGGATACCAGTTTAGGAGGATTGTTTTATAGATATTGTCTCATTTATCCTCTAGGTGAGTGGTTCCCATCCTTGACTATAACTCCCAGAAATCCTGGCCAAGAGAGCTGGTCGTGAAGGCTTCTGGGAGTTTTATTTCAAGGAAATTTGGGGACCCAAGAATAGGAACCATTTCTCTAGGCAATGCTCTGTATATCTTTGGCAGAATTCAGCTATAACATGAAACCATGGTTTGTCTTTGCTCAGCATAGTTCACAAACCACACTATGGTTTGGAATGCCAGATGTACAAGAGGTAAAGCAGAGCCTTTGGCTGCTTGTGGTGTTCTCATTTTCTAAGAACATAGCTTTCCAGATTCACTCCCATCTCCATGGCTTAGACGTTTCTTGAGATGAACCTAGCCTATCAGTGGTCTGTAGATTATCAATGGTTTGTGAATTCAGATATAATAGGATCCTACAGTTAGCACAAGCATCAAACTGGGATTTTAACTGCCAGTCCATTGTTGCTATACAAACTGTGGGCTTAAGACATTAAAAACAAACACTGGTTCAGCAAAGGAAACCATAGTGAACAGCATGACATAATACAAAGGAATGTTGCATTGTTTTATGTGTGTAATGCTCTACTGCAAGTTCACTGCAGTGTTGGCCAGAATCTAACACAGTAATAAGCTTGCTGAAGACTATTGACCGCAAAGCAATGGACATGCCAACAGCTGACAGTGCTCTAGAATCCAAGAAAAAATGTTTCTAATAAGCAGTGTAAACTTGCCATGAGCTCAGTTCATGTTCTCTCAGGCCAGCATTGCAGTGGAGCACTCAGCACTGGAGTCTCCCATATTCTTCGGTGGAAAGGTTTGTTTAAACATGGACTTGGCTCTTCCAGATTTTTTTCTCTGAATATCCAAATGCTTCCTGCAAAGGAAAGTTTTCTCATGGTGTTTAAATACTAGTCAGATTATATACTTACATTGTTTCCCTTTGTGTTTAGGTAAAAGCAACTGGGCAAGAACTGTTTGATCAAGTTTGCGACGTTCTGAAAATTAAAGATCCTCACTTCTTTGGCATCAGTGTTGTAAAAAGTAAGCATGGAGTTAAACTTTTGGGGAATTATCCATTGCGTTGAATCTGTGCCTGTGTTTGAGGGAGCACTTCAGTATCATTGAGTCATTCACTATTAACATCATTTAAAAATATGCTGAAGTTCTTTGATCATTGATCTGTGCGCATGCCTGTTAGAGAAGGGTGTATGCTTTTATTTTCCTACAGTTATTCTGGTTGCCAAATTGGTTGCTGCTGCTGTTATCTCTATCTCACTAGCTATAATCTGTAGTATTGTTTGTGCAGTAGGAGAATAGCATGAAGTTCCAGCCTGGATATATTCTATAGAAATAGTTTCTTTCTTTCTTTCTTTCTTCCCTCCCTCCCTCCCTCCCTCTCTTTCTTTCTTAACTACAAGACCCAGAAGTCTGCTGGGATTACTCCAGCCAAAATTCTGGTGGCTTTACCAACAAAAATAAAAAGCCATCACTTGTGTTGGATATAACTTAACAACTGCTGCATAAGTGAGAAAAGATCCCCAAACTGAACCCGGATCAATCAATATCTCCCATTTTACTCCAACACAATCAGCATTTCACTTGTGTTGGATATAACTTACAACTGGTGCATAAGTGAGAAAAGATCCCCAAACCGAACCCGGATTGCTATTTGTTTAATTTAAAAATAAAAATCAGGAATATCAGTACCTCCCATTTTACTCCAACACAATCAGCATTCATAGGAAATTACAGCTTTGTGTTCATCCAGTAGGTTGTGGCTTGTGTCAGTTTTGGCCGATAGAGCAAAAAGCACTGCAGCCAAAGGTAAGCAGAATTGGGGCAGATGTACGTGTATACAAACACACACACACACACACACACACACCAACACACACACAACCAATTGCTGAAACATTTGCTGGAAAATGCACCTTGACCCAAATTAGGAATGTACCTATCTGCTGCTCCAGACAGACAGAAGTAGTTTAGTTAAGGGTGGCCTAATGGTGAGCAATGCCCTGCTTGTTGTTTTTATTGCAACTAGTATAGAAATGAGCCTGTACAGAGGAGAGTTGAGATCTAGGTCACAGACCAGAGCCACAGGTCTAAAGATCTGTTTTGCACCTCAGACAGTTCCCCACGTGTATTTCCCAAAAAGACAAAGGTCTTAAATGAGAGCAGGTTATATGTGGAAGAACAACTGTACCAACACAGCTTTGAATCCACAAGGCAAGGCAACGAGCACAATCCCCATTTGCCCCGTTTGCATTCATTTGTACACTGGATGGCTGTCAGTGAAGCATTTCTCCAAGCTAAATAATACCGCATTTCTGACATGAGAAACATTCGTGCTTAGGTCCATCTGGAAATTGTGTGTGTTTCAGTCATCCTCCCACATCTAGATGGCCCCTACCCAGTTCTCCTTAGTCAAAGGAGCAGGTGGTGCACTTTGCAAATACTTTTTTTTTTGGCGGGGGGAGCATTCTTTTTCGTTAATATTTGCTGAATATTGAACATTGCCATTCAGTATGTCCCTGTGATCTATTTATATGGATGGATAGCAGCCCCCCCACCTCCAGATTTCCCTTGCTGAATGAGAAGATCTCAAGGGAGAGTGTAAGCAGGTTCCCAGTACCTTCAGATTGTCCCTTAGAAATGAGGAGGTCAGGAGTGGAGACCCACAGATATTCCATGGGCAGAAACCAGGACATCTGAATAAGGCTATTGAATGTGGGTGTTCAGAGAATGAACCCTGACATGGTTTAAGTCTGGGCACCCCAGCAAAGTTAAACACCCTTGCAGTTGATTCTCACATCAGTGTGTGAATAACATTTGAATCCTCAGGTTTGCATGAATATAGCAAGTCTCCCCTCAACTTCACCTCTGCTTTAATCGGATTGAACATATGCAAGTCTTGGAGGTCCCCCCCAACTTCACCTCTGCTTTAATCGGATTGAATTGGTGCTCAGATTTCATTTAATCAAAAGAACACATTAAAAAAGAGAGAGAGGCAACTTGAAACACATGATAAGGATCTGTAAATTTCACCTTTAATCCACTTAAAAAGAAAAAAAAACACCTCACACACTCTGCTTTTATATGAGAGAAAAATTGACAGGGTGGAAGGAGGCTTTTCGTTGTTGTAGCTGGAGGATTACACTCCAGGTTGGCATTTTGACAATATTAACCTCATTAGAGTTGGAATGTAGGGCTGCATTCTTCCTCTGAAGGGAGGTTGGCCAGCACAGCAGTACGAGTCCATGTCTGAGGGGAGGAAAGCAGGAGTGATAAAAAGGAAGGTTCTTGGCAGATGAAAGCAGGGAGATCACTTGCTGTTTATGACATTCTAAAGTAGCTTAATGAGTCATGTAGGTTGTCCTCCCACTTCCAAACATAAATAATATTCCGTTTAGGATTATTATTCAGTCCTCTCATTACTAGAAGTGTACCTGAACACTCGGGATGTTGTGTGTCCTCTTTAGGCTGGAAGTAATTGGAAGTGTCATGCCTGTCACCACTGCTCATTCGTAAAGGTTCCATGTACCCCACAGTGTGTGTGTCCTAACTTTTAGTGTGGGGTTACTTGAAAATATTCATCTTCAGAGGAATAGGATGCTTGTGTCATTTATTCTGGAGTAAAGTCCCTCAACTCAAATCAAGCTGCAGAAATGCAAGTATTTACTTCAGGGTCTAAACTGCACTCTATTTCTATGCATTCAAGTATAGTTTGTTTTAAATGTGATCAGCTGTAAGCAGCAGCAAGGAAAAGCTGCTAATTATCAGAATTACAGTACACTTAGAAGGAGGGGTTTAAGCCCTTTTCTGCCCTGCTTTACACTCCCCTTAGCACCAGCAGAAGATTCTGGCCCCACCACACGCAAGATATTTTGCTACTTGTAGGAAAAAACTAAGAAGCTAATTGGACCAGCTGATCTTTCTTTCTTTCTTTCTTTCTTTCTTTCTTTCTTTCTTTCTTTCTTTCTTTCTTTCTTTCTTTCTTTCTTATGACAGGACAGTGTCCTCCAGTAAACCTTACATTATTCTAGTTAGGGGTGAGGGAATTGTATGCACCATGGCTATTTGCTATATCTCTGTACTGTATTGTTTATTCCTAGCAATGCCTGATTCTCTGTCCCCATAAATCGTGGTTATCCATAGATTCCCTTCCAGCTTTGCAGTTCTAAAATGAGGAGGAATGTAGGTTGGTATTCCAAAAATTGTGTTTTACAAAGCAGACTTCAAAATCATAATAGGGATGTGGCTTCTTATAATATAATATCTACAGTCAATTTTCAGCATACATATCAAAATTTTTGTCATTTTAGTCCAAGGATGATTTTATTAGTTTAATTCTCTTCTAGTCTGGGGAGTGGGGAAGGTATGTAGGGTGAGTTGGACATATGGCTGTCAGCATTCTGAACCCATCAAAAACACACAAATCTCATTTAGCCAATATCACAGCCATCTGTTTTGAGGGGCTCCCCATTTTTTATTATTTTTCCATTTTTTAAAATATTTCTGTGAACCTGAGGGTTGCACAAGTCTACTAATACCTCCCACAGAGGCATTAGTATTGCCATTTTGTCTGCGCAAGTACAAAGCTCTCAAAAATTGAATGTAGAATTTAGAAAAAATGTTGGATACTCTTCTAGAATTGGCCTGATATTTTAGTGTATCTTAAGAGAGCTTTCATTTATTGCAGTTTAAAAATACAGCAGTTAGTCTTTAAGGTGGCACAACATTTTTGTTTTCTTAGTCAACTGCCTTTCCATGCTTGCAATAGTTTTGGTTTGGTTTGGTTTTTGGCAAAAACAACAACTAAGATCATAGGTACAAGCTGGCTCACTTGCTTCTCCCTGATACCGTAATTGCCATTAAATACAGTTGAGGCATACACATTGCACCTAATCTTAGCCAAAAGGTGGAGAAGCAGCTTTTACAATTGAAGCAAATTTAGATTAATGATTCTGAAATGCCATACCTGCGCTAAAAGAGGGACTGATGCATGCCATGAAAAAACAGAGGCCTAAATCAGTTGCTAGTCCCAGCTACAGCAGACCCATTGGAGCTTAATGACAATTCAACAATTGAGTAAATCTCACTGATTCAGAGAGAGAACTCCAGGAGAGGATCTGCCACAAAATCAGATGATGACTGCCGACTTGCAGTGGATTGTGTTGTATACCCACAATGTTGAATATACCCACCATTCTAAGCCTGTTAGAGTGGTGGGGGGCCCGTGTAGCATTGGACACCTCACCTTTCCTCTACCATGTAGAAAATGTAAGATAACAATAACTAGCTCAGTGAATTGGGCACCTGGCTGTAGAGCAAGAGGTCAGGGGTTGAATTTCTTTCGTGCCTTCCAGAAGAAAAGCCACAATGTGTGGCCTTGGGCAAATGACACAGCTCCAGATCACCCCAAGACCCTCTGTCCTCTGAAGATGCCGGCCCCAGAGACTGTGCCTTCCAGAAGAAAAGCCACAGTGTGTGGCCTTGGGCAAACGACACAGCTCCAGATCACCCCAAGAAGGGAGTGGAGCACAGAGTGCTGTCCTCTGAAGATGCCGGCCCCAGAGACTAGCGAAACGTTAGGAAGAACAACCTTCAGAACATGGCCAAAGAGCCCGAAAAACCCACAGCAACCATTAGATCCCAGCCGTGAAAGCCTTCGCGAATACATTGAGTGGTGAACCGCTTCTGAGTAGTTTATGTATCTAAGAGACACTGGCAAATCAACCTGAGGGCACATAATTACCGTATTAATTATGAAGGGTAGCACTTCCAGTTGCTGCCCAGAGTATAACTTTGATAAGGTTGGACTGGCGAGAATTAGGAAAAAAAACACAGAACAATGTTGAAGGGTCAATTATTTAATTATAGTTTTAGAAGAGATAGCAGTGTTTGTGCTAACATATCAGGCAAAAACAAAGAGGTTGGACTGGCGAGAATTAGAAGAAAAACACAGAACAATGTTGAAGGGTCAAATATTTAATTATAGTTTTAGAAGAGATAGCTGTGTTTGTGCTAACATATCAGGGAAAAACAAAAGAAGAATAAAGAAGTTAAAAGACAAAAATGTGGCATTTTAAAGACTAGCCACTATATTTTAATGTGAGATTTCATGGACAAGTCCACTTCCTCAGATGTAAGAGTGGGATCATTTTGGCCCCAAAACAAAGAGACTGTTTCCAGACAACAAGTTATTGACAATATAGCATTTCACATCTGGAAATGACCTTTAAGACCCCTGTTGATATTCAGTTGCCCTCCCAGGAAGCATTGTTTTGTAAACAATTACTATGTTTGGTGGCTCAGTTAATCCCAGGCGGTCCTTAATAAGCAGGAACAACATGGTAATAAGTACCCCTAATTGTCAGTGGGGCTTGTAAGATGGTCGTGGCCAGTTTGTAAGGAAATATAGCTTGGAATTACAGCAGACATCAACTACATAATTAAATAAGGCAAAAACAACATTCATGACATCAACAACATGTCATGAGAAGTAGGTACTTTTGCTCAATACACACAACTAATAATGTCATACTCTGAACCTGAAACCTTCCATTTTCTATTCATTATTCTTATCTTGCTTTTAGACAATGAGTATGTATTTATTGACCTGCAGCAGAAGCTTTGCAAATATTTCCCAAAGGAGTGGAAGAAAGAAACAAACAAAGTAAGTACCATTAGTGTACATTTTTGGTGTTGAATCCTTGATAGTGTTGCATGTTGATACTATCCCATAATAGGCCTCATCTTTAGTACTGTGTCCTGTTCTGGACAGCACACTATAAGGAGGATGTTGACAAACTGGAGCAAGACTGAAAGAACTGGGCATGTTTAGCCTTGGGAAAAGGAGACTGAGGAGAGATGTGATAGCACTCTGCAAATAATTTAAAGTTTGTCATAAAGAGGAGATACAGGATCTGCAGAACACATAATGTCCTGGGCTCAAGTTACAGAAAGCCAGATTTTGGTTGAATATCAGGAAAAACATCTTAAGTGTTAGAGCAGTACAACAATGGAACCAGTTACCTTGGGAGGTAGTTAGAGTTCCAACACTGGAGGCATTCAAGACAAAATTAGACAACGATCTGTCAGATACACTTTGATTTGGATTCCAGCACTGAGCTGGGGGTTGCACTCAGTGACCTTATAGTCTCCTTCTACGAATCTCTGATTCTTTGATAATTTGCAGTATTGCCTTATAAATATACTATACTAAATATACTAAGGTTTAGCATGTGCCAGTTAGTTCAGTTATGTACTTTATTAATGATCCATAGCCAGAATTTTTGGCGTAAGCTAATGATTCTGTACAACATGGAAAAGGTGGCCAGTTTTTCTTTTGGCTTTGTCTGAACAGTAATCTGCAACAATTAGTAGCTGGAAGTTCTCATGATTGGCATAGCTACAAAGTGACAGTGTGGTGTAGTGGATAGAGTGATGAACTCTGAAGGCCTAGGTTTGAATTCCCACTCGCTGGAGATGTGGGACTGGTAAAGCTGTTCCACTATAAGTCAGTTCCAACTTGACAGCACATAACAACAACAGCTGCAAAGGCCAATTGAAAAAGTGCCACCAATATGCTGGAGATACTAAACATCACTGTTAAGCACAAAAGCCCTAAAATACATATTTTTAACCAGCATTTTGAATAACATTGGCCAGAATCCTATTGACTGTTTATGGCAGCATAAGTGCAATGCTGTGAATCATAATAGCAAATTTCCTCTAGTTACAGAGTTATTGCTTGTATTCCTCATTGTGCACCAAGCCACATGACTGGTATAGGATGAGGAATGCAAGCAGTGGCTCCTTAACTAGTGGTACTTCACTACTACAGTTTATGCCATTGCACTTAATGCTAGCATAAAGAGCCAATTGAATCCTGGCCATTATTTATATTTCAACTAAAAAAAAAAATAATGAAGAAGTCATCAATTGTATTAAATGGCAGAAAAAGGTTTGCTTCTCTGAATGAGTGAGGTGGACTCATTGCTTGCATATTTTTCCCTGTATCTCATATTTTTTTAAAAATGGAGTAGAAAACTATAAATGACTGTTCAGAAATAAGGCCTATTTTACTCAGTGGAAGATACTCCTATGGAAATAAATGATGGAACCAATTTGTTTTCTGTGTTCCAAATAGAATTCAAAACAATTGGTTCAACTGACACTGCAGGGGATTTCACTGCATACTAAAAATTTCCAAGTACAGTAGTACAATCTGCTCTTGGGATTGGACACAGTGAACTTACTTATGAATAAGCATGTATTACAGAGGCAGACAACTTATTAGTGGTTGTGGCTGCATTATGAACCTGCCCACCGAGGGTCAGTCTGGGTGGCCCCTGCCAAAATTCAGACACCACCACCACCACAGCTCTGCCTGCTGCAGTTGTGACACTCTGGACCAGCAGCAGTCCACAGACCAGAGTTTCTCAGTCTTTGTAATAGAAGCAGGAACTGGCAAAGTTGGGAAGCTGGAAGCATTATTGGTACCAGTGACCCGTTGTTATTGAAGTGAACCACTTGATGGTTGGTGCTGATGTGACTTCAAAATGGATTGACCGTTGAAAATGTTACATGATGGGGAAGGAAGGAAGAAGGTAGGTCAAAATGCTGAGGGATGAGAGAGAAATAAGACTGCCTGGATAATGAATTATATTTAATTTTCCTTTTCTGCCATTCTCCTTTGAAAGGGAACAGAGAAATTCAGCCCTCCTTTGGTCACTTTCTTCAGAGTACAGTACTATGTGGAAAATGGACGGGTAATAAGGTACAGTTGTCTTAATGTTTGAACAGAACTGGATTTCACTTGATTTTTCTCTTTTTGTACTCTTTCCATTTGGTGGCACTCTGTTAGTTCATCATTTCCAAACTGGTACCCTACAGATAAGTTGAACTAAAACTCCCATTGTCTATAGAGTGTCTCTGCTCGGATGATAGGAAGTGTGGTTTAACATGTCTAAAGGATGCCAGAATGGGGACAGCTAATGTAAAGTGTAAAATCAGAGGATTAAGACCAGAAGGACATAATCACCTGAGTACCCGCACCTTGCATCACTGTGCCTAGTGAATATAGGTGTGTAATTAAATAAATAAATAATTTCAGAGCTGCCGCTCCCAAACATGCATTTATTGTGTCTTCCCTTCCGTGCTGGTGTGCCATAAAATGCAAAAGCAGGTACAAATGGCAGTATGGAGCTTGTGACTTCCTTTTTGCTTCTGCACCATCAACCCCAGGTACTTTTCAGGAAAAAATTCGAATAACGGAGAACAGAAGTCTCTGAAGAGTGGGGAAGGGGAACTAGCTGCCTTTGAGTGGGCCCTGTTCATGTGGAACATAAGATGCATACAACATGAAGCCACCTTGCGTCCAGAACAAAAGCTGGTAGATTTCAAAATGGGCAATTGACAGAATATATTTGCATCATAACTCCAGATGGGGAGCTCCGGGCTAAGCCAAAAGCACAAAGCTTTCAGGAGGACTGAAATTAAGCATAACCTTTTAAGCTGCCTAAAGATTTTTGTGTTTATGCCTGAACAAAGCTTTTTCTCTTTTGTCCGAAGGATTGCACTTGAATCCTCCCCTTTTCCTTCTCTTCATTCTTCCTTTCCGCTGTTTTCAGAAGCTTCTTCATTAAAACAAAAGCATGTAATTATCAGCCTGCCTTAAAGTAACTATCCCCATTCACAATCCTAGAAAGGCAGCTTTGTTTTACAGTGGTCTTTTTGTCCTCTTTATAACTCGCCTGTCGACATGCCATTCAGACTTTATTCGGAACAGAATTGCTGGCTCTGTCTTCCCTTCTTCGAAAGGAATTTGGAAAGTTCCAGTGCTCCTGACTGGAGTCTAGAAAGAGGAAGGAGAATTCAGCTTTGTACCATATCTTCCAAGATGTGATTAGATAACTTGGATTCAGTCCAGTCCTCTTCAGTCAATTCCAACAACTGACCATAGCTTTGGAAACACTAATTGTTCAGACTACAACTCCCAGAATACAGAGCACATTACTATAGTCTTTCGAGACTGAAGGATGCCTATATGAACTCCCAGAATCTCCCATGAAAAAAACACAACATTGTCTCCTAGTGACAAGCACAAAAGGAGGAGAAAAGGACCATCTCTCTTGGCTCCACCCTGCTTTCATGCCACACCTCCATCTGAACCATCCTATTCAGCTTTCTCTAGGAAACTTTCACCAATATATTTATGCAGGATCACAGCATTTGCTCAAGCGTTGCTGTTAAGCTTGGTGATGTCCATGAAGCGAACCCACCCAGCACAATTCCCCATTACAGAGCTGACAGGATTTTCCATTCTCTGAGAGCTCAGCAGAACGGCTCTAGAATACAGAACTGTGTTTGTTGTTTGTTTACCTAAAAGGAAGCATCAGGTACATGATCTGGATCGAGACTCTGGGAGTTTAGAGGTTTAAATCCTATCTCCTCAATTGGTCTGCTGACAATAATTACCTTCCCTAAGCATCAAATGAGCAAAGTTTTTTAAAAAAGGTTCTCTTAGCATAAATAGGAAGAGGGTTTTTTGTTTTTTTTTTGACACTGCCATTTGTTACATGAAATAACCTGTGTGGTGTAATGACTAAGACTCTGGAAACCAGGGTTCAAATCCTGTCTTATCCATGGAAACTCACTGGGGGAATAGAACTGGTAAAAAACGCTTCTTAAATATCTCACTTACCTTGAAAGCCCTATTAGGGTCGCTGTAAGTGGGTTCCAACTTGAGGACACAGAACAACAACAGCAATTTGATACATTGGGAGCACAGTTTTTATCAGGTGAAAACATAAGGAGGGAAGAATTAAAGGCATGTCCCCATGTGTTGCCCCCTTTGCCTATTTCAAGAATGTGTAGATTGATGGTTAGCTAAACTTCCAACCCATCTATTTTATCTACTGCACAAAGTTTAGATAAACTAAGGAAAGCCATTCTGTCCTGTCCCTGAGAAGGATATCTGGGGCATTTAGTAAAAATGTACACAGTGGTTAACAGCAATAAAGAAAGCAGCACATGCAGATTTTTCCTCAGACTGGTAATTCGTTAGCAATAGAACTGGGCTTAAATGTCTTCCTTTAGCAGCTTTTGCACTTTTAACCCATTGCGTCATTGTGTTTCTGCAGTGACAAGGTGGCACGGCACTACTACTATTGTCATCTCAGGGAACAGGTCCTGCGGTCTCGCTGCATGGACAAAGAAGAGGTCTACTTCCTGCTGGCTGCCTATGGCTTGCAAGTTGACGTGGGAGACTACCGGGAAAACTTCCACAGAGAGAACTACTTTGAACCCCAGACTTACTTCCCACAGTGGGTAGGTCTTGCAGTAAGAGAAGGAAACAAAAGCATTAGGATTTCAAGTGCTGCAAGTAGAACCTCACTTTTTTGGACTTTTTCCCTTTTTAAACTTCCTCTTCTCTTCTTCGCTCTCCTTCAACTCCAACTAGTCTCCTAATTTTACACAAAGAGGACTCGTTCATATGTTTGCCTGAAGGTGTGTAGGGCTAAATGGATGGCAGGGAGAGGAGCCCGCATGCAAGCCCTGTGCCCTGATATCCTGTTGCATGCGGATTCTCAGATCTTCACGTGTTAAGTCTTATCAGGGTTGCTAACCAAAGGGGCTCTGTGCCTGGACTGAGTGGAATGTAAATTCAAAGTCTTCTGCAGACCTTTGTGCTCAGTGCTCGACAGGCTCTGACCTGGCTCAGTGCACTGGAACATTCATGGATGGGGTTCACATGCATCCTCTTGACTCTGCAACACATCTAGTCCCCTGAATAGTCCAACAGTTAAGAGGCTATCTGAGTTCATCTTGTGTTTGTGTCCCCACACCCTTCCCAGAGCTACTCCAGAAGGTATCCCAACACGTGGAAGCAGATTTTGAAGAGCAGTGATGGCCGTACTTGAGGAAGAATAATTACCCCTCTTATTTTGCTGACAGACTTTCTGTTGGCTGAAGGCTTTTATTGGATTCCATTTCTTATTTTTTAGTAACTCATGACTGCCACATGTGCTTTGTATTGCATTAATTTCTGCCTAATACATTGTAAGCATGCTCCTTATTTTACTGTCGCCTTTGACCCATTCCTTCTCCTCTTCTTCACAATGCCTGTTCAGACACCGAGAGGATCCTTAGGAAGGTTCTGGGATGTAGAGTGGGGCAGGGCTGTGATAAGAGGTGCACAGCGTTGGTAGCAGCTTGTGCTAGTAGGATTCCGTAATTCTGTGAGAGCTTTCTGGTCCACTGAGAGTCACCCAGCACCTCATAAGAAGCTCTGCAGAGGCACAGGAAGCTGCACCAGGAAGAAGACATCAGGGAATTCCCTTGGTATGAGTGCAGTATTGGGTGCAGTCGGCATCCAGCCGTACTATGAAAATTAAAGGACTGCATAAACAAGTGAAAACATTTCACACTCATGCGTTCTCTTCCTAATTCTGTCTCAGCCATCTCTTGCCTCCTCCTTAGAATTGTCATTCTCAGATGAGTGAGAATGGACTATTGAGATGGATCGTATCACTCCGTGTTTTTAAAGCTTACTAACACCAGTGTCCAGTGGTGGTTCTCCGTCAAGTAAAGAGAAACAGAGGGGGATTTACTGCCTAAAATGGAAGTTGGCATACAGTGGGATGTGCCTCTCCTTGCCTTCAGGGCATGGCAGTGAGATGATGGATGGAATCCTTCTGCTTCAGTACCTTGGCTGAGGATTGTGGCAGCACACTGTGAGGAATGAAGATAACGATGATAGCAAGGGATGGAGACATGAAGTATCAAGCAGGCAATCTTGTTTGGGAGCCTGGTTCCTAGACTCATGGTGATTGGCTGAGGAGTTAAGAAAGATCAGGCCCTGTGGCAGCCAGATAATTAAAAGTGTGTGGAGTCTGATGAGAGACACAAAGAGATACATAATGTGGCTACCTGAAGGAGCTTCCCTGTAATTAAAGCAATAGAAGATATGGGTGTAATACAGGCTTACTGTGTTCCTGTAAAAAGTTGATTCTAAGTGCCTCTTGAATGTTGAGTGATGGTCTGGCAGGAGGGAACTAAGATATGCAAGCTAAACAACAGCAAACCTTTTATTACACATATTCTCAAACAACCCAGAAGGGATATCTCCTACCTGGATGCAGATATTTATCATCATGCTGTGGTTTTAAATAAAACCTCAACATGAGGAGATGGCTCCAGGTGACTGTAGTTTAGCTTCTGTTACAGGCACCTACAGAAAGCCTCTTTTCAGAGATCCTCAGCACAACTACCTGCTGGCCCAATCTATCATACTTCTATAACCTTATCTTTAAAAGCAAAAGAGAAGGCCTGGATAGAGGGTCCGTGTGCTCTGTGATTTTCCCATGCCTTTAAAAACAGAAAGACTTTCCAAGTTTCCATGTAAGCCTTCTTGGCTCTTAAAACTCTAGAGGAGGTCCTCATCCCTTTAAAGTTTTAAATATTTTTAATCCGTTAATGCATTTTTAATGATGATGATGATTTAATTCCCTTATAATATATTATTTATTTTTTAATTCTGCTCGCACGTTGTGAGGCACCTTGAATGCCCTTCTTGGGAGAAAAGCTACCTACAAATAAATAGATAAGACAAGTCATTCTGCTCACTAGGTTGCTCATGAAAGATATCAGTGTAGCTTTAATAGCTGCATAGAACTGGAGCTTCCCGCCTTACTCCTTCGCTGTGACAGACCGAAATCTGCCAGGTTTACCTCTTTTAAAGGCATGGAAGCTAAAAATCGTAATCTAAAATTGTAGTCTTACCACCTTGTAGTATTGACCTAGGCAGTCTGTGGGGCGCTTTCTCTTCCTCCTGTACTTCCTATTATTCTCGGTATTGGTTTGTGTCAGTCACACTGATGGCTAGATAACAAAGAAAATACAGAGCAGTGTTCCTGTTCATTACGTGGTGTCTGCAAAGAAAGAAATCCGTAAAATATTATGCTTCCTTTGGTAAAATAGAAGAGTTTACAATGGTTGCAATTCCCATTATCCTGTCTTGAATATTTTATCCTGCTTGAGGACTGTATATCAAAATAATGAATACAGTTTCCATAAATTTTCTCAATTATTTGTTTGGTTATGGGTATTGCTTTGTAATTAAAGAGGAGCACAATTTAAAGTTTCCTAATACTCACCTGGAAGGTTATAGATTGTTCTTTATAGAAATAAATTAGTATATATTTATTTAATGAATACACCAGCCTTGATCCTATTCAGATTTTAGGGCATACAAGTGAAACTATTTCACAATCAAACTGCAATAATTTGGCAATTATATATGATAGTGAAACAAATCTAAAAGCAACAGCGGGTTAAAATTGCCAGGAAAATAAAAGCAGGTAGACATGGCTTGCAAAAATCACAATGTAGACATTAGATGGGCTTATTTTAGTGGAAATGACATGGTTGTGAATATCCTTTCCCATGTGCTTGTATAACAAATGTCTAATAGAGAAGAGCACCAGGGCCCCAAATTCAATCCTAGCACCTTCCCAATTTTTTAAATGGAGAATACTTTTTGGCTTAAATATGTTCTTTTGTGTCACCTAGGGAATACAGGGGATCATTTCACCATGATTTTGGGATACACTGCACCCTGGCACCCATACACCCCCAACATGTAATTTTAAATAAATCTTCTGCTTCTCAAGGCTGTTGTAGTCAAAGAACATCTGGAGGCCCAACGTTGGGGACCACTGACCTAGGGAATGCAGGGGATCATTTCTCCATGTTTTTGGGATACACTGCACCCTGGCACCCATACACCCCCAACATGTAATTTTAAATAAATCTGCTTCTCAAGGCTGCAGGGGGACTTTATCAAGGGAGAGAAAGGAAGCCAGTTTTTTAAAAAGAAAATATTTTAGGGTGGTGAGCTCACAGGAGGGAGTATAGCCCTCCAAAGTCCAGGGGTGGTTGTGTGCGTGCACACACTGCAGTAGATAGCTCTACTGTAACAAGGCTGCAGGGGGACTTTATCAAGGGAGAGAAAGGAAGCCCGTTTTTTAAAAAGAAAATATTTTAGGGTGGTGAGCTCACAGGAGGGAGTATAGCCCTCCAAAGTCCAGGGGTGGTTGTGCGCGCCCACACACACACTGCAGTAGATAGCTCTACTCATACAAAAGGGCCTTCTCTATGTTTGCTCCCAGACTTTGGAACTCCCTCCCTTGGGAGGCCAGGCTGGCCCCATCTTTGCTGTCCTTCCACAAGCAGGCGAAGACCTTTCTCTTCAGGCAAGCTTTCCCTGAGTGACTGGCTGAGTGGGCCTTTTAATGGATTGTTGCACCTTAACTGCTTTGAATGTATTTTTGGTGCTGCTTTTGTTTACTCTTTCTTAGAGTGGTATTTGTTTGATCCTTTTTAGCATTTGTATACTTACTGTTTTTAAAGCTTTAAACATTGTATTTTAATGATGTAAGCCGCCTCTAGTCCTTCTGAAGAAGAAAGGTGGGGTAACAAATATTTCAAATAAATAAAGGACTTCAGAAGATCATCTGATCTTTCTAGAATCCTGAAAGGTATCAAGTTAAAGAAGACTGATTCCTGCCATGCAACATTCAGCATTAGTCTAAAGAATTTCTGAGGTGGGGGAGGCTTCCTTTGTCTGAGACTCTCACATACCTTGTAATGAATCTCAGCTGTCTTCTCTCGTAGATCAGTTGAAGTAAAGTTGGGGGAAATGCTGATGTTGTCTCTTTTCCCCCTTGGCAGATAATTGCAAAGCGAGGGAGTGATTATATCCTGAAGCATGCTCCAGAGATGCACCGAGAGCAGCAAGGCCTGTCAACCAAAGAAGCTATTCTGAAATATGTTAAGGAGTCGTGCTTGCTGGAAGATGTGCCGGTCCACTTCTACAGGCTGCAGAAGGTTGAACTTTCTTTTCCCGTATGTTAGAATGTTATCTGGAGTTTCTTTCTTTAAAAAAAAGGAGAGAAACTAGGAACAAAACCAGGATCAAACCATGAATATTCGGTTAGACCCAGCTTCTTTTCTGAGGGGGGAGGGAGCAAAATTCCACTAAAAATGCTCTTGCCAGCAGAAAAGGGGAAGATACAGTTTTTATTATTATATTTCTTGTGAACCATCAGAGACGTAGCACCTGGATTTGTCAGCTGGTGAATGACTGGAATTACCACTGGCTTTTCCAGACTCAGGTTCAGTTTGTTAATCTTCAGACCGTTGACCATGGCCATCAGGCAATGACTAAGCTGTCACAACTGCCTCTGGTTGCTTATTTAGTTATACAACTGAGTGTCATCAACATACTGATGGTTTTCAACTCCAAAGCTATGAATGATTTCCAGTAGTGGTCACATGTATATATTGAAGAGCACTGATGTAAAAGGCTTCTATGGACAGAAGATGCTTTCCATCTGAAAGAGGAAATTCTGGATCCAACCCCTCCTGTCTTAGGCCAAGACTCAGAGATTAGAAAAGTTGTTTTTGTTAATTACTGGCCCTGCTGGCTGGGGTATTCTGCCAGTTGTAGTCCAGTCTCTGGTTAGACTGAGGATAACTTCCACTGGTACTAGCTGTAATAATGAATAGTGAAGGACAATTTGCCAGGAAAGGTGAACTCCAATCAAGTACAATTAATGCACTAGAAACTAAGCACTGTGAAGGAATCACAGGGAACGGACTACAACTCTGCATGCTTGGCTTTCCATTACTTTTTTAGTAGGCAGATAGGGAAACCGTAAGCTACTTGAATAACTCAGTGAGTCAGAACAGCAGAAGTTCAATCCCCCACTGTGTTTTATAGGAAAAGAGCCAGAAAAGCCATGTGATCCAAGAGTGCCCCCAAAGAAATAGACTGATAAATCATTTCTGAGTGCCATATACTGTACTGAAGAAACCCTGGAAAGTGTCACAATATTTTGGACAAATAATTAACAGGCATGTTGGGAAACCTTGAACTGGTTGAATAGCTCAGTGAGTTAGGACTCTCGGTCAGGGGTTGGATTCCCCATGCAGTGTAGAAGAAGCCTTGTTCACCACTGGCTTCAAATATGATTGCTATTAAGGAAACCTTGTTTGTATGGTATTTATCCACTCTTGCATTTTCCCCCCCAGTTTAAATGGTGTGATGATTTGGATGTCTCTAAATATAAGCTAGCAGGGATACAGGCGGCAAGCTCTGACATGCTTTGTGCCCAGGAATGGAGAAGATCTGTAATTGGTTGCTTTGTTCCTCAATTCCTGTCTGACTTGAAATACTGAGGTGTGGAGTTGTGTGCTCACTTAGTATGCAGGTACATCCACTCAACAGTTCTCATTCACCATTACCCTCCTTGAAATGAGGAGGAAGGAGGAGGACCGTAGGTTCCTATAGTAGGCCATATGGAAAGATGGATATAACCCTGAGCTAGCTGCTAATCCAGGCAGCAAAAGTCATTGCAAACAATGGTCACAAAAAGCTATTTACAAGTTAGTGTGGTCACATAAGCAATTTATAAATGAGTTTGTTTTTGTTGACAGTGTAGTTACACTTCATGTATTTCTTCATGTAACACCAGTCAAAACCAAACAAATCTCAGAACACTGTATGAACTTCTTTTCCCACGCACCTTTGCAAATCTCAGGAAATCCAGTGATTCCCATAGTACAGCAGGTGAACAGGATGCGTTCTTACCAAAGAAAGATGAAGAATGTGCAAGAACAGCATGGTGGTGAGGAGGCTGCTCTACCTCCTTCCACTTTGAGGGCAATTATGAAAGTAGAAGTCCTTTCATTCAAAAAAAAAATCCATCCTTACCAGCGGATGTAACTACTGCTAGATTGGTTCTTCATACATCACTTTGTCACATCTGTCTGGATTCCACACCTATTAAAACAAGACTGGAGAATGTGTAACTGTCTAGATATTATTGAACAACAGATTCCATCATGCTTGGACCTTAACCAGATGGGTTAGAGCTGCTCGGAAGTGTAAGCTGAGTATATCTGGAAGGTTACAGCTTTCCAAACCTTCAGCTAAAACTTTCAAGTTTTCAAGGCCAGCCCCTCCTCTGGCATCTCTCAGTCATATATTTGAAGGCTTATGAAGGTCTGAATGTGTCTGGCACATTCTAAGAAAGGGTGTAGCTCACAGAATCAATGGAATTGGTTGTAAGAATCTCTGGTGGCAGCTTTTACCTGCAACTCTAGGTGTACACCTGGGCCACGTGCCAAACCACAGTCTAAAGCACAAACTATCCTGATAGGCTAATAACATACTCAGTTATATCAAAGAATCATGCATGCAGAGTTAGCTTGGGCCTGTCTTTTGTCTTTTCAGGATAAGAAGGAGGACCGCCCCACAATCATCTTGGGTCTGACCCTTAAAGGGATGCACATCTATCAGGTAGGAGGTTGGGAAATACTTGAGTTCTTATTCTGCTTTTTTCTCTCTCCTGTTTATCCCACTGCCCTTGAACCTCTGCTTGTGAACTCGGTTCTGTAGATCAGTGATGGGGGCCATATGGCTGTCCAACTTCCATCGTCTCTGACCATTGGACATGTGTTGGATGGGGTTGATGAGGGATGGATTGAACTCACTCAACTTCTGGAGGGCTCTCTGTCTGTGCTGTAGATCTGAATTCTTTCTCGGCATCTTCAAATGTTCTTGTATTCCTGCATTACCCACCTCACCAGAACATTGTTTCTTTCCCTTTATGCATTTGTTACTGTTCTAGGAAGTGAACCACGTTCGCCAGTTACTCTATGACTTCCCCTGGTCATATATAGGAAAACTTGCATTTTTGGTGAGTTCTTCAGAATTAAACCATGTTTTCTTTTAGCCCACCTGCAAATAGAATCACAGAGCAAATGCATGGGGGGTATATGTGTGTGAAGGAGAACAAATATAGCTTAATAGCATGTTTAACTTAGGAGCCCAATACATACTCATCTGGGAATAATCCCTGTTGAATTCAGTGAGTCTCACTTTTGGGTAAACATGCAATATTGCACAATATTAAACTGATCCCCTTTGCATGCAGGATACAGAGGTTTTGCCCCGCTTCTGAAAGATACTCAGATTTGGGGAAAGTCTCCAGGAAGAAAATACAAGGTGTCTGTATTCAGACACCTCATGCAACATCTGGCCATGCTGTTTGGGGGAGGCTGGAAGTAATAGCCAAAAAGGTAATTTTTCCAGACTCTGAGAAGACAATGCCAGTCATAGAAAGCAATACAAGGCTAGATAGGTCTTATTGCTCACCCATGGTAATGTTGGCTGGTGATGAAGGGCACTGTGGTCTAAAATAATCTGCTCTTATTTGTTAAGTTTAAACCATTGTTGTTGCAGGGGTTGTGTGTGTGTGTGTGTGTGTGTGTGTTTGGTGCCTAATCTATATAACCCACTCTGATCTAAATCCTCCTTTTAAACTTTCTGCATGTTGTTTTCATGCCTGTTTGGCTTGAATTTGTGTTTTTTTCTAACTTAGGGGAAAAAATTTGTGATCCAGCCAGATGGTTTGCCTTCTGCCCGGAAGCTGGTTTACTATACCGGTTGCCCTTTTCGGTCTCGCCACTTGCTGCAGCTGCTCAGCAACAGCCATAGGCTGTTCCTTAATATCCAGCCAGTCCTTAAGCAGATCCAGATGCTGGAAGATGCAGAAGGTAGGTGATGGCCTGGGTTTACACTTGAGAAAGGCAAAGGCTGCCAGCAAATATGGTGTGGATATAAAATAATTGATTTTTGGAAAATGTTGAGGTGTATGCTAAGTTGGAAAATTGCTCTGAGTCACAGTTCAGTAAGTGGGGGGCTGGAGTCAGTGGCTGGCATGGTTAGGCATCTGTTAAGTCTCTGCTACAGGCCTTCTGGCTGCTTACCGTTCTCACCTGCTTATGCGCCAGAAGAGATAGGTGAACTGATAGTACCAGTGAGAGCAGCAGGTAGCTGGAGGTGGGGGGGGCTTGTGAGTTGTTCAGTGTTCACTCTGTTAAGTGAGTTCATAGTGCTGAGGAGAAGGAGGAGGAGGAAGGGCAGAAGGCAATTGAGTATGTTTGTGAGCCCTGAGAATCTTGCTGTGAAGGTGAGTATTCTTTAGAGGGTGTGGAGTTTTGATAACCCCCAATAGAGGAGGTTGTACTAGGATGTCCCAGCAGGAGAAGGGATGTGGACTCAAACTCCCTTATATTCCACCCATTCACCAGGTCAAATCTCCCATTCTGTGAAGGGGCAAGGCTCCTAGAAGGAGGATGTTGAGCCATGTTGGATCAGAACAGCTGGGCTTCATTATGAGTGGAGCTACCCTAAGGCCAGGTTAGGGTTCCAGAATCTAGGGCAGTTGTCCTGTATAGAGAGATCTATGTGGGCTGTCCCTTCCATCCAGAGGCAGGCCAGAGGAGGCTATCACAACAAGACTGGTGGAAATTAAAGAGATAAGTTGTCCCCCAATTGCTAATAGCAGAAATTCAGAATATGTGGCTTTCCAGATGTTGTTGGGCGGCTCTCCCCGGCCTTCCTAACTATTCTATCTATTGTTATGACTGGTGGACATAGCAGTCCAGCAACATTTGGAGGACCACAGATCTCTCCCCTATCTGTCAGGTACCTGAGGTTATTCATTGACATCTCTTCATATATGTCAATTGTTAAAAATCTTAAAGTTTAGTCCACTTATTTTTTTTAAGTCACAGATCATTTGGAATCCAATTCTCTAATTAAATCTACCCATGAAACACTTCAGTTATAAAACACACATGTACAACATTGAAAATAAGAAACCATGAGAATATAGTAGGGTACCTTTGGCCTCCATGGTGTTAAGCACTTCCTTTTGCTCGCTTTACCTGGGCCAGATGAAAATGACAAGAGAGGAGAGGCAAGGTGTCGTGAAGGCTGCCAAAAGCTACATAAGCATGGCGGTGATCACACAGAGTTGTGGTGTTGCGGAGACTCCTGACACATGTGCTAAACAGAGAGCGATAAGGCTGGTGACACATCTGGCCACAGGCTTGTTTATTTCTTACAATTCTCAGCCAGCTTTCAACCAAGTGTTCCCCAAGGCACCTATTTAGAAACTTGAAATAGTGGAATTCCAACCCCTGCAATCTTCCAGGTGCAGTATTGCCAGGAGGAAAATGTCTCTGGTGCCACCCGCACCTTCAGCATTCAAATGAACCCTTGCTCCTGCTTCAGAGTTTGTCCATGAGACTTAAGAGGTGCCTCAGTACCTCCCAGTGCCTGGTTTGAGAATGATTAGCAAGAAGAGTCTCTGGAAAGGCCTCTGTTTGTTGTTTCTCCTTACAAAGGGGCATTTGTAATCCACGTTAAAAGGTCTGCCTCAAAACCAGTTCTGCTTTCAGACTGAATGCTGCGGATCAGAAACTCATCCTTTTGCTCATTTCTGCCCTGACCCCCAGTGAATTTGTTCAGCTGTTATGCTTCCTTCTGCATGCAGCTTTGCAAAATGCATCCCAGTTTTAGAGAAAAGACAGGATATACAATATATCACATATATAAACAAAATAAGGAATAGCTGAGCAAAAGGGATGTGGTTAGATAAAGAAGAGGAGCACTTCTGCATGGCATGGCACGGCTCTGGAATTCTATTTTATGATATTAATTCCTTAATTATTTAATTGATTGTTCCCCACCCTCTCTTTTTTTCTTCTTCTTCTTCTTCTTCTTCTTCTTCTTCTTCTTCTTCTTCTTCTTCTTCTCCTTCTCCTTCTCCTCCTCCTTCTCCTCCTCCTCCTCCTCCTCCTCCTCCTCTCTCAAGAAAATAGTGTTTATCTATTGGAGCACTTTGGATATGATCTACTTAGTATTAAATTCCCCTCACTGTTCCCCACATCCTACTCTCTTCTGCCAGAAAAGAAACGATACCGGGAATCTTACATTAGTGACACCTTGGAGATGGATCTTGACCCCTCTGACAAACATTCTCATGGCAGTGGAAGCAGCAGAGGAAGTGGTAGAAACAACCGTTTATCTCGACAGTCAACGGACAGTCATGGCAGCTCCCACACATCTGGCATCGAGGCCGACTCGAAACATCGGATATCTGTAGAGATGTCTGTGGACGAGCCCTTTGGCCTGGATCGCATTCATCAAAAGGAGCAGTCTTGCAGTTCAAACCTCAGTTGTGGCAGCTCTGGCATTGGCAGCGGCAGCAAAGAGAGAGGAGAAGAGGACTCCCAGGATGATGGTAAGAGGTGGAAGGAATGGAGCAGCCTGCCGGAATTTTTTTTTTCCTGGCCAGCCACATAAAGAATGGTGGTGGTTGGGGTAGATAAATTGAGTGCATCTAGAAAAAGGCAAGTCTCTTCTTTTTCATAATTTCCAGAGGTGGAATTGGGAGTGGATGAGCCGGACGAGGTACCTGTGGATGAGTCTGAGTTAGAAGAAGATGTGCATGAGAAGCCTGCAGATTCTCATGTAGAAGATGGTGTTTGCTGTCAAGGTGAGAGGATGCTTGGACATGTCATTATTTTTTCAGTCTTCCATTGTGTTTCACAATTTTTTTAGGTGTTGATGCTTCCTAACAGTCTGTCCAAATCAGATTTTGGGCAGTAAAGTTCAGTTCAACGTAAGACATTCCATTTACTCACTTTGACCAATTTTGAAAATATGTGCTTTGGGGAGAAGCAGGAAAATTCAGGAGGGAGTATATTAAGGCATTATGGTTTGAGAATATCATTGGGGCAAAGGAATATGAAACTGCGAGCTGTAACTGAACCAACTGGATTTGAGTAATTTGTCCCAAACATTGGATTTTTCAGATGTACATATTTGAAGATGTTTTTGTATAACATAAATTTTTGCTATTTCCCTGAGAAAATAATTTACTACTTATTTACATTTATCTTGGAGGGTGGGCGCATTCATAGAATAATGGATTTCGAAGGGGCCTATAAGGCCTTTTAATCCAACCCCCTGCTCAATGCAGGAATCAGCCTATAAGGCCTTTTAATCCAACCCCCTACTCGATGCAGGAATCCCAAGTCAAAGCATATCTGACCAATTCAAAGCAGACCTGACATTGGAGCCCTAGAACCACATATGGCCATTGGCCTGCCTTTATGGAGCCTTTTGCTTGACTTCAAATATGCTGTGCTGTTGGTCAGTTACAGTGGGCCACAGGAGGGGATATCAGCAGTTAAGGAGGAGAAAAAGGATGGTCCTATCCACTTTTGACTTTGGCTCCACCCACTAGCAGCATCAAACACCACCCTAATCTGCCCCGACAGATTAGCCCATGAGAAAGAGGTCTGTGAGTGAATATGCTTTACCTGCCTATCATTTATCTGCTGTTAAATGCAGTGTATTCATTAACTGTAGGACCAGATGTAGGAACTACCAAGCCACCAGGATGGCTTGCAATATTTATTTTCTTGCTCCTCTCCTACAGGAGACTGGAAATCAACCATAACTGTCTTGACTTTGGATACAACAGCTCTAATACTGATATTGATACTAAAGTCCTGTGTATATATAGCATATACAATTTGTAAAGAATATTTATTACTCCCAGATGGCCACTTTTAATGCCTTTCCTAGTCACAGAGTGATTTGAAATAAGGATTATAGGGGAAAACAATTTTTAAAAAAAGTAAAAACAAAAAACAAATCTGTGATGGTGCCTTAAAGACTAACTTTTATATTTTTGAAAACAATTTAAAAAAAAATAAAAACAAAAAACAAAACAAAACTGTGATGGTGCCTTCAGGACTAACTTTTATATATTTTTTAATGTGAGCTTTTGTGGACATGTCCACTTCATCAGTCATTAGAAGAAAGAGGCCTTTGAGCAAAATTTGCCCATTACTGATTTGAGTGTCCTCAGATCTTCTGTGGGTATGGATTGGAATCGCTGTGGGCATCTGCCTAGTTGTTGAAGCAATGGCGGTTGATTTGATCCAGCAAAGCCCAGCCTTGGTGATGTCCTGATGCAGACATACCTGCCTTTGCACTTGCTTTCTGGCTCATCAAGAGATATTATGGCCAAAGAAACAAACAAACAAACAAACAAACAAACAAAGCGGTGGAGGGAGGCAGACTAGTTTGACATCTTAAAGACTGTTTCAGTGTGAGCCTTCGTGGATCAGCCGCTATCTACAGAGGCTCACACAAAAGCAAATGTTAGTCTTTAAGGTGCCGCAGTATTTTGTCCTCAGCCCCCAGCTTCCACTCCACCCCACAGCAGGCTGAAATTAACTAGCATGGCTACCTCTTTAGAAATGTACATATATAGGTGGCTATGTATGGTTCTTTTACTACCCATTTTATTCCTAGAGAGCAAGGAAACTGCCTTCAAAACTGCCAGCCCTACAGTTTCTAGGATGACTTCTCCACCACTACCTTAGGCTTCTCATTTCATTGTATATTACATTTCTTAGCATGTTACGGATTGTGTCTAGACTCTGGGTTGGATCATACTTAAATTTAGGTAGGCCCACTGAAGTCAACAAACTAATTTTGTTATGATTTAGGTATGGCAAGGCCTGGATCCCGCCCTATCACTGCAAACTTCAAACTGTGTATTTTGTTTTCGGCTTGTTACCATTCCAACTGCTTTTATCTTTTCATTCCCCAGATATTAAAAAGAATCATCTTGCAGTAGTACAAGTCACATTAATAAAGATTAAAGGCCAAAGTGTGGAATCTCTTCAGCAGGTAAGATGGCGGCTAATGTAAGCCTTGGACCCCAAGGGGTTCTAATCTCAGCATTACTATAAGAACGTGTACTGTTTGTTTGCTTGTTTTGTCACATTCGTAGCCTTTGTCCAAAGCCCATGGGACTCAAAGCAGCCAATGGTAAAATCAAATGAAACAGAAAACAGGTTTAATGGAATATAAAGCTGACTAAAAAAGTAATTAAAAGAGATCAATGAATGGGATCAGGGAAGCACCCATCCAGTTAAAAGTTTCTTCTGCAGTAATCAAGCTTAATCGCCAAAGGCTTTCCTGGATAAAAAAGATGTTTGGATTCCGATGGAAGAGCAACAGGGTGGACTAGGCTGTCCTCCATGGGAAGGGAGCTCCACCCTACTAGCAGCTGCCAAGGAAACTCTGTGTTGTGTCCCCAGCATACAGGACTGAGGGAAAGACTTCCCTCAGGATTTTCAAAGCCCAGCAGGCTCCAATGGAAGAATGTGACCTGACTAGTTCTGTTGCCTCCATCACAGCTCTTATTCATCATCTCCATTTCCCTCCACAAGTTGGAGGAGGGTATTGTTGGAGCGAGGCACGTTCTATACTATTGTAGGATCCTCATGTGAATCAAACCCTTTAAAGTCGGGGCTCTGAACTGCACAGGCAGGGAGCCCACAGAAAGCAAAGCAGGCTGTCACTATTGATGGGTGCACCTTGCCAATGGGCAGAGTGCCAAGGACAGGAGAGGAGAAAGAGGAGCTGGCATGCCCGTCCCATTCTTTCTCAAACAATTCTCACTGCACAGGGGATTACAACGTTCTGTAGGGCTTTAGTGGCAGGGAAATGAGCAAGTGCTCATGCCACAGAAGAATGAAGGGTTCTGGATTTAAATCCTCAGGATTTTGTCTTATGAAACATCTATTTCTAAGCATAGCATAAACCACTCCAGAAATTTGTTGGGTTAACAAAACAAAGACTGTGTAGGGTTGGGTTCTGCTACTGGGTGTGGTTTCTATCAGCAGGATCCTCTGCTGTGTTTAAAGAAATAATACTTTGGTCTATAATAAATATGTTCAGCTTTATACTCTAGTGCTCATGCTTTTGTGTTGCAAATGTGGTTGCTGGCTGTTGTGGGACTTGCTGTTTATTTTTGGCTTGTGGTTTGAACACAAATTGCCCAGCAAAGAATATCTCTAAAGTTTCATCTCCAACCCCAACTCATGCACTCTCTTCCCACTGCCAGTGTGACAGCAGAAATTTGAAAACAAAACCGGGCTCACCGTGTCAACAGCTATATATAAAAAAGACTAGTAAAAATTAATTCAGTTCACTTATTCGGAATCTGTGAAGCTCAGCAGAATAGTTTAAACTCCCCAAATAATGTGTTTGTGCAGGTGTGATTCAGATGAATTAGTAGGCACAGCCCAGACAAAGTTTAATGCGCTTTTTAATCTCCCTTGTTTTCAAAGGAACATTAAACATGCGATTAAGGCTACAGTCTCACAGCACTTGCTTGGAAATTAAAAATTCATTTTGTTAGGCATTTATAAACTTTCACACATTTCTTCTTGTTTAGGACAGAAAGCCCTGGAGCTTTTAGAAAACTGAGTGTAGGAGAAAACAAGAGTCAAACTAGATAAAAGAGTGCCTTTTCTTTTCTAAAGATGAGGTGCTCTCCCAAGTTGTGAAGTATGTCTGTTTGTTGTAAGTGCATTATACTTAATTCCATTTAATCCCCACAGGGCTACATGAATACAAAGGCTTTTGCCTTCTATTAGAAGGTTAACAGGGAAAGGATCCATCTCATTAGACATCTCACATTTATCATGCTTGTTTCATCTCAGTGAGCCGATGGGTCATTGGAAGGTAAACTCAGACTTAATGTGCAAGTCTGATTGTTGAGCACATGAAACAATGGATTAATTGGGTTAATTGTAGGGAATACTCATTCGCCACAACATCTGCTTCAATCCCTAAGCTGACAGTTTTGCCCATATAAACCCAAGACTTCGAGAGCTTGCTTATTTGTGTGTTTGTTTTAGTATTTATTTCTATATGATCTGTGATACCCAGTGTTGTGTAGTAGAGAGACTGACAAACTAGGAGACTTAGTTCAAAATCCCCGCTCAGCCATGGAAACTCTTGGGGGCTGTTGTGGATCTGGTAGAACCACTCCTCAAATTGCCTTGAAAGCCCTGTTACGGTCACTATAAATTAGTTCTCACACTGTTTGATTTATACCCTTCCTTTCTCTCTCATAAGGGATTTAAAGTAACTCTTTCCCCCTAAAAAATTAAAATAGGAACAGGTAAATACACAAAATTTGATTAAAATCCATTTAAACCAGATTTAGAAATTATGTTTTTAAAACAGAGGCAATTTAAAAACAGAATCGATAGGCGAGTACAATACCCACTCTTCAAGAGTCAGTTGCCAAAAGCCTGCCTACAAGTCCTAGAGTGCCTTACCATTGGCCATACTTGGGGTGGGAATTGTAGATCAAAACATCTGGGACTGAATGCAGCTGGTAGTTTCAGTAAGAATAGATCCGTTGGCTAAAATCCTGTTGTTCAGTGTAGTAAGTAGGAATTAGACCAGGCCCACTGAACCAATGGCATTTACAGAGGGGTTGACCCACCAAAATCCCACTGATTCAGTGAGCCTACTCTAGTTGCAGGTTATTGTATTAAGCAATAGGTTCTTGGCCACTGTAGCAGGGCAACTTGTGCAAGTGTTTACTTACCATTGTGCAGTTGATTCACTGTGTCTGCTCTAGCTGGAACTGAGAATTGCACTGTGGCTCTGGATGGCCAAAGGCTGCCTAGCCTTAGCTGTAGAACTTCAGTTTCAATTAAGCTCCAGCAGGACATGGGAAACCTCAGTTCTTGCTGCCTGACTGTTCAGTCACCATATGAAAGTGACAAAGAAAATGTAGGGATTTAGAGGTGAAAACAGAATCTCAACTCCCCCTAATTACAATTAAAGATTTGTACTCTAAATGCAGTCATAGGGTACAGCTTTATTTCTTTTGCTCCCTGTCTTGTCCCAACCCAGATGCAAACTGGCAATTCATGGAAGTGATTCTCTCCCAACCCTTGACTCATTGTGCATGCCAGTGGAGGCAGCGCATGCAGAGCTATGAATGTGGACGTTCATAGCTGAATAATTCTTCAAATTCTGTAATGGTTCACAACTTCTTCATTAAAACAGTTTCCTTAAAGGAGGGCAAGAAGAATGTCAACAATTTGTGATGAGATGGAAGTGCACTGGGAGCTTCTGTATATGCAGTATTCCTTTTTTTTCTCATTTGCTTGCTCAAGACTGTTTTCTTTTAATACATGTCCTCCTTAAACTGGCAGATTGCAAAGCCTACAGCTCCAAAGAGCCATGACCAGCACAGTCAAAGTCTAGATGACATCCGGCTTCGCAAGTGTCTTCATCCACCTCTAAGTGCCACCCTATCTTCAGACACGTCCCACAGCTACACTTTTGGTTGCGGTCTGGAGGATAAGCTGGCCGGCTACGGCTGTGTGTATTCAACAGCTGACTGTAAAACAAAGTCGGCCCTCTATGGAAAGAGGTCCATGAACTGTTTGTCCTTGGATCTCTTGGGAGAAGATCAGCTCCCTGAGGAATTTGTGGTTTGAAGCTCTCGGACGGTCTTGCTGAAGAGCATCCACCAAAATAGAATGACTACTGATTTCAATCAAAAATGGAAACCATGTCCTCTCTCCAACTTTCTTTCTCTGTGTATATATCTACATACCTCATCATGTGGGAAGCCTTTCTTCCAGATTGTTATTACTCTTGGCTTATCAAAGTTGTTCTGCCCATTAAACCTGAACAAAGTGGAAATGAATAATAAAACCAGAACCTCTTCAGTGCTGTGTCTAAGCAGTGCTCTAGGCAGAAATATTTCTCTTGCTGAAAAGACTGGTGAACAAATGATGCAAAACATTGCACATGCTAGGAGAATATGCAGAATTATTTTGTCTACTGTTTTTTTAATCGTTATCTAACATACTCCTCCCATTTTCTTCACAAACTTTATAATTTTATTGTCATTGGATTCTTGAGAAGGTGAATCTATCAATGTTTTAGGTCTTTGATCATGATTATTCCAAAATTATTGATAACTGCTGAGTGTATTTAGATCAGCAGTAGGTCATTGGGGGAGATGATTTTGAAGTTTTGTACATCTTTGGGTTTCCTCCTCACCTCATTTCATTCCTTGAAAACTGCCCAAGAAGTTGACTGAATACGTTTTTTTAGAAACAACCAACATTTATACAGTAATTGGAACCCTATGAGTGTTTGCTTAAGGTGTGCACATCTTACTGTGGCTAATTGATGAGGTGCCAGGTCGCAGCATTAGTTGTGCGGCTAGCAAACATGTGGCCAATATGTGCTCCAGTACCTCAGCAATCTGCCATGGCAAGTTACGTGAACCTTATGGAACACCAATAGGATTCTGCCTATTTACTGAATACTCACAAGGTTCTGAGTTGCACGACAGAGCAACATGTAAGAAAGTGGCAGGATGGTTTTATGAATAAAGAATGTCAGTGCATTTTTAGAAATGACCGTCAGTAAGTTCTTTAAGACCAGCTCATGATTTTTCTCATAGTTCTGCAAATGTAATATTCTGTACTTCATGTTATATATTGAGTGTGCATTGAAACCCTATTGATTTCGGTAGGACTCAGGCCTGTTTAAACTTCTGTGTACTTGTTATTTTGACTAACAGGAAGGTAATCTTGTTAATTAATTCTGGTAACTAATCATTCTGGTTATATTGGCTAGCTAATCCTGGATTTATTTCACAAAATAATGTTCCTGTAACTTTGGCAGGTAATGCAAATGGGCTACTTCATACTTCGGCCCCATAAAGATCAATTAGTAGACGCATAGTCATTACCAACTCATCAAGCAACATTTACTTCCTAGCATGGAGCCTAAAGTTCTCTTTTGAACTTTTCTAGTGGAAATCAGTATTTTTCAAGCAAGACAGGGAGATGTCTCTGGAAAATCTCATAGTGAGGAGAGGGCTAGGGCAAGCGGGAGAAGTTCTCCTTTTCTTACGTTTCTCTCTTTCCCCAAAAATACCATTCTGTCAGTAACAGCAAATCTCTGTTGATTGCTCATTGGATGCAATTTCTCCCTTTTGTCCTTCTTGAATTGAAGCTTGTCATGAAATACTGTGACTTTGGGGAGAGGGAACACACTATTAGTTGTGAAATGGCCACTAAAACTACAATGAAAATGGCTACTTCTGTCTTCTTCCCTCCATCCTTCTTTTGTTTCTTTTCCAGATTGTCACTGTTTTTTTTCAAGTAAATTCCAATCCTTCTTTCATTACTAGGATTTTCCCCAGCTATGCTTGAAAATAATTACAAAGTAGCCCCAAGTTCACTGACCCAAATAGGACAGGGAATTTGAAGGTGAACTTCACCCCAGTCCTATGGTAAGTAAATATGAAAGTGCCCTCAGAGATTTATCACTGCTTCCCAAACATTCATTTCTGCTGAAAGACAATGCTTGTTTGATTGAGAGTTGCTAACAGGAGGGACTGGGGAGCATTATGGTTGAGGTGGCAGTCAATGGTGGGTGCATCCAGGAGAGACAGAGCCGAGAGCAGAAGTGGGCATCCATGCATGCCTGGCAGCAAGCAAGTGGAGAACACAGGTGGGGCCCTGACCATCCCTCTCTGGGAAGAGGAAAGACAGGAATGGGCTGGCTGCGCACACAACGTGAGCCTGAGGTGGAACAGTGACCAATGTGCCCTATGCACGCAGTCAAAACTGGTCAATAAACAATTCAAAATACCAATCACCCAACTGGAAGGAGCTTTCTCTCATCTCTTGATGGAAATAACAGACAGATGGGGGCTGATCCATATGAGGACCACAGCAAGGAGTACAGTGTTAACCCTGTCTTCCCCACATCAGGGTTCTTATCCAAAGCATTTCTCCTACAACTGTTACTTCTCAGCCAAACATGGAGCTGCTGTTTGCATTATTGGTGACTCATCTATAGTTTGACTCTCATTGCCCTACTCAGTGGCACACAAAAGGGTAAATCAACATGGGAGGCGACAGCACACTACCTTTGTCTCCTTCATTGTCCCTTTGTTCACAGAAAATGGCAGCTCTGGGGGGGGAAGCTGGTTCTGTAAACAGGCAGATCTCAATGGGAGTCAGAACCCTGCCGTGAAGACCTGGAGAAGGCTTTGGTCTTCAGAATGGTCACTTTTCAAGTAAGGAAAGTGACCGTGGAGGGGCAGGGTTAGTGTGCTCAACAGATGAGCAATCAAGTGTATACAACTTAGTTAACCAGCCTGAAATCGTTCTTGGGTGTATTCATTTTCTTTTGTTTTTCTGCTCAAATCTTACATGTCTCCCAGGCATGTGTACATTTTGATGTGAAATCTGAGGATGCATTTCAGGAACCAGATATTATCTTAATAGCATTATTCTTTCTTTTGGCAATGAATATTTGTTTCTTTCCAGCCCCATTTTTTTAAAAATGTTACATTTCTTTGCAAAGTGGTAGTTGCCATAGAAGTAAATTGAAAGGTTTAAAAAAGCCATTTCCCACAAAATTGTAGGGCTGGAAAAGACCAACAAGATTCACAGCAGTGATCTGTTTGCAACCATTTAAAGGGCAGGAATGCAGAATTGAAAAGGGGGCAAAAGATGGATACTACAGTAGCTTTAATTTTCTTGTTGGCTTCATTCACAAAGGGGGCAATATTAGCTGCAGATTGTGCACATTCTCTACCCAGAAGTTAACTTGCATAAACCTCATGAGAATCAGTGAATGCTGCTGTTCTAAGAGCATTGTGCAGGAACTCTTCCCGGTACAATTTGGCTTCTTGCCATCCTCTACTACCTTGTCACTAGTGGGGGAATTAGTCCTTCTCCAAGCAGTCCTATTTATTTCAGCAATTCCACTGAGAAGAGGATAGCCCTCCCCTTTTAAAAACACAAATCTACGCACACAGACATGCTGATTTTCAAAGTACCAGTTCACACCTGAAAAAAACAGTGCCAAGCCATTTAATTCTTCTTAATGCCTGTTGTCTATTGTATATTTTCTCTATATGTCCATATTTATTCATAGTGAGAATGGAAAACGTGCACGTTTTTGGACACTGCTTTGGCTTCTCAATAGATATGAGATCATGACCAATGTGAAAAATCAGTTCTCCTAGAGAGTTGTGAGATCCAGCAATAATCTGCCTAATATAAACTACTCAGTTTCAGTCTGGATTCATGACAGTACTCCCTGACAGACAAAACACACACACACAGACACACACAGACACACAGACACACAGACACACAGACACACACACACACACACACACACACACACACACACACACAATATCTGTTGAAAAGATAACATGAGAAAGTAAGCCAACAGTAACTCCACTTGTCTTTGTGAAAACTTTCCAGGCACTGAGATGCTTATTATGCAACCTTCTTTTAATTCACGTGAATTTAAGAGTTTTGACATCTATATTGATTTTAATCATAAGGTTCTATTTCATGTTTAGCTTAACTATGGTTCGGGATTTTAGTTTTTCTTCATAAGGCCTTATAATCCACTGACAATATGAAAACCAGCTGTCAGTATTTGTTCAGCTGTAAGATATTCGTTGTAGTCACTCCATTTTTAATGGCTGATATTCTCCTTTCCATGAAAGGAATTTTTTATATAGAAAAAAATGTGCTTGCTTAGATCTGTCTGTCACTATCTACATTTGCAATAAAAGTTGATAAAGAAACCATATTCAGGCGTGCTTTTTTGAGTGTGGAACAAATGAAAAAAATTAAGTTGTCTCTCAAGCTGCAGGGGTGGAGAGACAGCAGAAAGAGAAATGAAGTACTGATCAGCCATAAGCAGCCTCCTTGTATTGCTACACCTGTTTCAAGAGCAGCCATTGTGTGGGAAGCCAAGCCCTTGGTATTACCACCCCAGGCCTTCAGTGGTTTTGAAAAGGTTGTTGTTGTTTTTTCATTAGGCAAACTGCCAAAGGATTCTCTCAGCTTAAGCAAATGAAGGAGAGGCTGTTTCACGTTAGCAATGTCCAGCATCTGCACTTGGCGCATCCCATCAATAATGGGATTGGTCTTACTCTTCTGTTTTAGCAAAAGAGGCAGGCCGGCTGCTCCAAGACCATGAAACCTAAATAACAGAAAGCTGGCACACTTCCTAAATGGATTCTAAGCTTGTTTGGTTAATTAGTTGACAGATCTTGTACACCATGAAAGCCCTTTCTCACTACAGTCCTGGGAATTAGTTCAACAGTTGCAATTGGTGCAGGACCAGCAGTCAGCTATTGTGATATGTATTTGTGTCCTATATGGAAGACCAACATTGTACTGTATTCCTTATGAGATCAGTGATTCTTACTTGTGGTTCATGTAGCACTGATGGGGCACAGCAGTAGTCTTGGTGGGACAAAAGGCTTTCATAACAACAGTCAAGAATTCACTCTTGCTCAATGTGCCCTCTCCTATAGCATTGTTTCCCAACCTTGCATCCCCAGATAATGTTGGTCTAAAACTCCCAGAAGCCTTGAACCCTAGCTGTGCTAGCCAAGATTTCTGGGGGTTGGAGTCTAACAACATCTGTGGGGAGTCAAGGTTGGGGCACCATTGTATAGGGGTGAAATGAGCCCTTGTTGAATTCCTTTTTCTTATCTTTGTACACATCCTGATATGACAGGATGCCTGACAGAATTTCAAAGCCCCACGAGATTCCTCACCTCCGTGTGAGAGCATGGCAAATGGCACCTTTTCCCCTCAAGGTCTCGGCAATTTGTGTAAAATATGTCCAATGGCCATTGTTTTTGAGAAGCAAAACCCATGAATAAGAAGCAGAAGATTGTTGAGAAACAGACATGCCATCCATCCAGGGCTTCTAATTCTTAAAGCAGCTGCTGTCATTGCTTCAGAAATGTTGTCCACATGCACAAACCATGGATGGAGACTTGCGAGTCACAACTCATGGTCAAATCTGACTTAAGTTGCACTGGCAACTTGACTCGGACTTGACTTGGGTATTTTTATTTTTGGAAGACTCAGACTTGACTCATGACTTGGACCCATTTATTCGAGTCACATTTCAAGTCCTTATTAAGTATGGAATTTCCTACCTGCTTCTAACACTGCTGCCGCTGCCATCCTCGGAGGCAGCAGGCCCAACTTCCCTGCTAGGAGCCGGCTGCTGCCTCCACCAGTACATGCACCACCCAGCTGATAGGCCAGCATATACACAGAAGCAGGGACTGGCTCTGGGAAGGGAAAACGGCCTGCTGTCTCTGTGCATGCACGCGTGCCTACCCAGCTTCCCTTCCAGGCCTACTATCGGTACATGCACTTCCCAGGGAAGACGGGGCCACCGACTTGAGACTCTGGCTCGAGGCTTTGGGCTTTGGACTGACTCGAGGACTCAGATGCAGACTCAGGACTCAGACTCACAGACTTGGCAAATCTCTGGCAGCAACTGCGGAACTCTGAACAGAAAATAAACAGTTCTGCACAGCACACTGTCTTTGCCAATTTAGAAC